CTAAAAATTCCTGTTCTAGCATAGGCACTACTTTTCTTTTCGTTTCAATGTGTGGGGGATTAATAGTTTTCACGTTCTTATGGATTTCGAGTTACAGTTGCCTTGTTGTTGGATTATGACTTTTTTATGTATGGAATTTGCCTTCTGGACAATGGTGTGTGGGTTTTTTTATATCCTCATCTTATTATTGAGTGCAGAATCACCTCTTTGCTCGAATTTAAAATTTATGAAACCTGTAGATGCACAAGGCTTAGGATTATAGGCAGAGTAAATAGGCATGGTCATGAAGCTTTAGTTTTCAACTTTCAGGCTCATCATGGACGACCATGATGCCACAGAGTTGGCATCTCTACTAGAAATCCTAATTTGTCAGTTTTTGTTCTGGTAGAGCAAAGCTGGTCCGGGATCCTTCTGCCTGGCATCATGTTTCTACAATGATATCAGCCCTTTGATCCTCAGTTGATCCATAGCATCAAGGGCCTGGCTCACTCCTACATCATCCAAGGTGCAACCTTCCAACTGCCTAGTTACCTCCAATAGAGTCCTGGCCAAAGATCATATATGCAGAAAAGGGAATACCTTACCAAATAGATGTCCTATGAGCAACGAACAGGACGAAACTATCGGCCACTCATCACCTCCCATATATGGTTCTCTATCCGTTATTCATTTAAAATTTTAAGTGGTTCTAGGTCATGCCAGTCTCAAGCACTCAGTTTTTTCAATCTTACTTCTCCCCTGCTTTTCCTGCCACCTGTCTGATTATGTAGCGTGCTACCTTATTGGTCTCTATTGAGCTATGTGGTTATAGAGAAACATATGGACAATGGAAAACTAGGAGGGCTACATAAACTTCCTCTGAGACTGTTTCAATCAACTATCATCTTGTGGGCACACATCAAAAAGAACTCAAATCTTACTCCTAGGTAGCCTTTGGATGAAATCAGACAGAAATCAACTAGTCCATCTTGGACATGATTACGAGATCCTCACAACTGATCCTACCTGAGGTTGGTGTTATTAAGCTCAATTTTGATGGCAATTCTCCCTAGAGTCCTGGTTTGGCCAGAACTGGAGGCATATTCAGGAATCACTTGGGAGAAACCTTGCTAACCTTTTCTGGTATGTTGAGAGTAGCAGATGCAACCTAAGCAGAAGCGCAAGCTTTACTATCTAGGCTCAAAGTGTTTGATAGAAATTGGAGGTCCGTTCTTCTGGTTGAACGGGACTCTCTAAATGTCATCAACTAGGCAAAGAAATCATCACGCATCCCTTGGAGAGTGGAACCCATCTTCGACAAAATCTCCCACATTTCCCAAGCTCCAGATGCGGGTTTCAGGTATTCTTGGAGAGAGGTAATTGCTAATGTGAATGCCATTGGCAAAGGAGCCTCTAGAGCAGAGTTCAGCATTTCGAGACCATCCTATTAAGGAGCCATTTTTGTAGACCTAACATTCTAGGTGCAAACCTTGCGCTAATATTTTGTCATTGATACAAAGCAAGGTGTACATTTTCACCCAATTAATACAAAATTTTGATTAAACACAAAAATAAATTAATGAAATAAGCATAATCATGCAAAGAAATTAAATGTTCATGTATGGGATTTGGAAGAAGAATAGTTTTATAAGTTCAACTGTAGGCTTCATTCATGTATCCATCCCTTTGAAATTTTAACTTTCATGTTTTATCTGGCACGAAGACTTTGGATTCTAACGTTTGCTCTAGTTTAATGGTAGGCCTTCTGTGCACTTTGCACAATGACGGAATATACTATGAAGAGACCTTGTTGCCATTGTTAAACTTTTTATAGACAAGGTTCTACCGTCAACAATTGTAGATGGACTCTGACCCTGTTGTCTGGCATGTTTCGTGGGTATCCAGAATGATACATACAACAATAGTAAAAAAAATTAGCATCCTATATATTTCATATAATTACAAATTTGTTATGATCAGACGTCCATAGACAATGTAACGACTAATGATGCATTATGACCAATATCTGTCTGTGATCGGTCATATTCTGCTGAAGCTAGTAAATATGCTCAAGTGATATTGATGAATGAGGGATTCCGAGCTGGCTTGAATGGTTATGGTGGTGACAATTGGAACGCTACTAGGCTAGAATTCCATTCTGACCTACTCCATGTCAAAAAAAAAAAGATGTTGAATGAGTAAAGCTTGTGAGATGAGGAGGCGACCATTGGCTTCCCAACCCTGGATTTAAGTTTTTAGACTTTTGGCTTATTGTATTGATGCTTCTTCTACCTTTATTCCAAAGCTGAGGATCTTGCTTTTATACTATTTAAAAGTTTGATAATTGGGAGTAAGCCTCCAATTACTCCCCTAAATGAGAAATAAAACCCCTAGATGTGTCTTTAATGTGATAAATTGTAGAAAGGGTGCTATCTTTACAAACCATAGTTACTGGGATCTCCTACTTTGGTAGGCGATCCCATCTAGGATCTCGATTTTGTCTCTCCCAGAACGTATCTCTCACGGATCTCGATTTTTAAATTTTGGGATCGCGAATCCCACTGATAGGAATCCCGATTCTTGTTGTTAGGGATCTCCATCCCAGCCTTAAAGACCAAGACAACAACCAAATTGATGACTTTATTTGTTTATAGCCAACTAGCAATACAACTATTGCTTTCTTGCTATCAATAATGAGATCCCTACTTTAAAGAGTATATATAATCCTAGATTGCCATACAATTTAAGGTTGCTAACAAGATCCCCAAAAGGTCGGGGATCAAGATGCCCAAAAGGTTGGGGATCTCGATCCCTAATATTTGGGGATCTCGATCCCTAACACGTGCATTGTACCGACGACGTTCCCAACCATAGGGATCTTCTTGCATTTCATGATCCCGATCCCAGTACCATTCCCTCTCCCGATCCCAACAATTATGATACAAACAAGGCTGAGAAAATGTAAACAGTTCTTAATTGTTCTTTGTCAATGTGTAATGAGGCAGTGAAACTCATTACTGGAAATAGAGTTACAGGCCAGGTGTCCTCTTAAACCCCTCTCTAGCTATTAAAAAAGGAAAAAACAAACTTATTTCTAGAATAAGCCGCATGCTTCCATGGGTTTCTTGTATTTTCTGTAAGAATCTGATGGGTTTTGTTTTTTGACAAAATTATAGATTTCCAAAGGGGGTTCCATGGGTCAGATATCATGGGGTCTACAAGGATTTGCAGATCAATATAGTTTGGCCAGGAAAAGACACCCTTTTTGGTGAGTGTCTGGTCTTATCTTTTTTCATTGTATATTATTAATTGTTTTATTTTCATAATGGATATTATTATTCATGGTTTAAATGATGATATGCTTACACATTTCTTCTAGATACTTGGGAGATTAATTTATCTATTGCTTTTTGCTGGAGGAATTTCCTCACACCTGCATCCTAGTTACTGAGTAGTTCTTGTACAGGAACATATGCTACATCTATTGTGTTTTGGGGATTTTGAGAATTTTGATTGATGTTAATGGTTGGGAAACACATATTTCTGTTACTGCTGCATGGGGTTTTATCTACATAGGAGTTATCTTGGTCTGTCTCTTTGTTTTTTCTTTTAGTTAGTTTCTTTTCATCTCGTTTTTTTGGTGGGTTATTTGGGAATCTCACTTTGTTGAGATGAACATAAACCTTGTATTCTGTTGATATTACGCATATCTTCTAGATCACATACCATCACCAAACATCTTCTAGTTCCTCACTCACAGATTTTCTTTCTTATCTAAACAGCCTTTTTAATAAATTTTACTCTATCGATTTAAGAATTTTAATTTCCTTAATGAGCTTTTGGTGAAGGACTTAGCTTGTTGATATTTTATTCAAGTGTCATATGTTTCCTTTTAAATATAGAGCTAGTGTAAAGGTGTTTCTTTTTTCAGGGGTGGATAGTGTTGGAACAGTTTCTGCATCTCTTGTGACTTATGCTTCTATTCAAGCATTGAAGCCAGACCTCATCATAAATGCAGGAACTGCAGGAGGTTTCAAGGTAGATCACTAATGCTTATAACCTTCTCATACCCACTCTCATTGCTGATAGAATCATCAGCTGGGTTATGGAAATGCTTGATTTGTATTGTCACTTATCCTCTGTAATGAAAAACTGGGTGCTCGGATCGGGAAGAACTGGTCCCAATCACATCCATTCAGCTCAAACCAACTCTTGGATGCAATTTGCATGACCCTGGTCCATTGGGGTAGTAGACCTGGTTTGTTAAAGGGAAGTCAAGGATGTGAACCTTGGAGTCTGTCCCCAATGGAGACCAAGCGAAGCTGTCAAGAAAATAATATGTTGTGTATATTCGTTTCACATATTTGTGTGCATATCTTCTCAACTACTTAATGGTTTGCATGCATTAATATGGATATAAAAATTGGATTTTTTTTTTTTTAACTTGGATATTGAATGCTATGTCTTATAGTGTGTCTACATTAATTGAACATTTTTTACACGTAATCTATGTAACCATTATCCAGGATATTATTATGTTATATTATTATTATTATTATTATTATTATTATTATTGTTATTATTATTATTATTATTATTATCATTTCTCAATAATTCAAGTTCAGCTCAATGAATTCACTTACCTGTGAAGAGTGACTAGTGGTGGTAATTCATTTCAAAGTAGGAGTTAGTTTAAAATTTGTGTGGTGATGTTGTACTCTTATGGGAAATTCTATGTGCAACCTGTAAAAGATGTGTTTCTCATGCAACTGAAAAGTAGTGTGTTTTAGGTCAACTAGAAGTGGAAATACATTTTTTGGTGGCATTGTAGGTGGGTCATTTAGGGTTTGTGTAGAATGAGTGTATGCAAGTGTTTCATTAACATGATACAATAGATGTGTACTCTTTAAGTGGATCATGTTTTATTATGTAACAAGGGCCAAAAAATAATAATTTGTAGCTAGAAAATTCATTCAAAATGAAAGAAAAGTCAAACTAAGGAAAGGAAGACATGCAATGGCATGTCAAACAGAAGTTTCCTCACTGTACATCTCACCCCAGGTTCTGAAACTGGAAGAACATTTATACTAAGCCATGAAGCAAGGGTAAAACCCTCCAACCTGTGGTATCCATGCAATGTGAACCCACAAATTAAGGTCATGCCGCCCTACACTCTCTCTCGTTCTTTCCTATTTTCATCACTGAAACACTGACACTCACTGCAATAATTGCAGCATGTGTGTGTCTCTGTGTGTGCCTCTATGTGTGTGTATGTGTGTGTGTGTGCAGGGTGTTTTGAATGTCTTAACTCATTTGTCTTCATACGCTCTGGCATAGATTTTCTGTACCTAATGTGTTGCATTGAATTATATAAATTAGTTATAACTAGCATATAATGCATGATATTTCTCTATTCTTTAAGACATTTTAGTTAACTCTTAAACTTGTTAAATATATATCAGGAAGGTTGTACCTCTAGGCATAGGAGTCACTAGTTCCTCATTTTGATGTTATGAGATAGTTTTACTGTTAAATGAACATTTGGTTTGTTTTTCAGGCGAAGGAAGCTGGCATAGGGGATGTATTTTTGGCTTCTGATGTTGCTTTCCATGATAGGAGGATACCAATACCTGTAAGTTTTTAACAATTGCAATGTCTGAGTTGTCGTTATGCCCATAATCATGATGAGCTACAAACTCTCTTGAAGTTTGCATGGATAACATATATTTTACAAACTAAACAAGAATTCTCTATTTCTTTGTTGTGTATGCTATCAATTTGTTTATCCAGAGAATAGTGTTGCATTGATATTTGTGGGTGCTAGTGATCTCTGCTAGAAAATAGAAATGATGGATACCAACTCAATGATCAAGCAGTTCTGGGTATGCTAAAATTAATGGAGCTTGTGGCTGGTGATATGACGTGTTAAGTCATAATTCCAGCACCATTCTAGCATTACAAAATATAGAATAAGAGAGAAAAACAAAAATGTGGAAGTATGGCTTATAGACCAATAAATATATTCACCCTCAATAGACAGGTGGCTTTTGTTGATGACAGATATAGTGCAAAAACACTTTGATGTGGTTCTTACTTTTCTGCATAGTTTCTTTTTTTATGTTAGGAATAAAAATGCAAATTGTATCATTTATTAAAATAGTGGAAGTTACTATCCTTTTCTATCTTGAATCATGTCTTGGAAAAGTAAACCATCGTAGCAGTTGGTTTTCCTACAGTATCCTACCATCTCTTAAAGCGTTCGGTTTTGACACTCTGCAGTTCAAGAGATAGTCGCTACCCTTTGTAATGGAAAACCCTGTGTTAGTATACTCTATGCATACACTTTTGATTTTATTTGAAACATAGTTTCTAAAAATTTCTTTCTGGTAGTGATGTAAATACTTCCTGGAGATTTAACTAGGATATTTCAATCTTCATCAACTCTCATAATATAGGCCTTCATACTGAATAATCCTGATCCTATGATGACTAAATTGTAGAGCCTTGCCTTGTTCCGTCATTTACCTTTGCTTTTGTATTTCAGGTTTTTGATCAATACGGAATTGGAGCTCGAAAGACCTTTTCTACACCCAATCTTTTGAATGAGCTTGGTCTCAAGGTGCTTTTATCATAACAACATGTACACAGTTTTGACTCATCATTTGTGGGATGCCTTCACACATTTTATTGTGATAAGTATATTTCGTGGTTGCTCCTTGAATTGTTTTTTGTCTTGAAGTTTTGGCTGTATGCATATTGTGCATGTGCATGTATCATATGCAGCTCACTATGCTTCTATATGTGCAAATTCAATTAGAAAAAATGTGCAACTAAGGCAAGTGACTATAGATTACACAAGTTGTGCGCAAGTTTATCAAAAAAGAAAAAACGTTGTGCGCACTTTAGGGAACTGATGAATGATGATGTATTGCTGAAAAGGCCTATTCATGATATCTTGTTAAACATCACTTGTATTTATTTGACTGCAACTAATACAACTAGTGACTTAAAAGCTAGCTTGACATTTATTGGATGCTTCCTTGCTGGTCACTTAAGATGTTTATGCATGTTACAGATAGGAAAGTTGTCTAGTGGTGATTCTCTTGACATGTCACCTCAAGACGAAGCACTAATCCTTGCAAATGAAACTACACTCAAAGATATGGAGGTAAGTGAACCTCTTTCTGTAGTTGCCATGTGTGTGCATGCATTATTAATTGGAGATCCTAATTTCGAAGTTTTTTATGTCAGGGAGCGGCAGTCGCTTATGTAGCAGACCTCTTGTCAGTCCCTGTAATTTTCTTGAAAGCTGTGACAGACATTGTTGATGGAAATAAACCTACTCCAGAGGAATTCTTGCAAAACCTGGTGGCTGTATCTGCAGCTCTTGATAAGGCAGTAACCGAAGTTTTAGACTTCTTAAATGGCAAGTGTTTATCTGAGCTTTGATCATACCATTATTTGTGCTTCGGTGAAGGCCCCATGGAAGAATATATACCAAACCAAGGATTCATAAATAATTTTCACCAAACAGCTCATTGCACCCAAGAAATCTTGAAGCTTGAACAAAATAGCATCATAAATGTTCTCCCATCTACTGTGATATTAGTATGGCCTCTGTACAGGCAAATTTGTAAGCTTAATTGTTTAATTTGAAATCTAACTAGGAGGTCTGCATAATTTATGCGCCTTGGGCAGCTTGTTATTTCATATATTGAATTTTGTAATTGATGGTTTATCACTTGATGGTGACTAACTGTGATGCTTTTATATTGGGGGACCTATTCTGGTGACTGGCTAAGCCTTGATGGACTAAATTTTTTGAAGTATTGTGGCCCTCCTTTTTTGGGGACTCTTAACCTTTATTGCATCTAAGGATCAATTTTCATTTTATATGTGATGGTTGGCAATGTTGATTCTCTTAACTTTGAACTGACATTAAATGAAAGTTGCTTCAGTACAAATGATGATGCAAGAACGGGTTATGACGATAATGATGATGCTTCAGTACAAATGACAAATTGATTACATTTAAAGATGGCCGGAAAATGAAATTTTGTTGGGATTTTAGGGCATAACCCTAGTTAAGAGATGCGCAAGCTGCTATTGTTATTTCTCGATCTAATTGCACAAAGCATTAGGCCAAAAGTTGTTGAAATGAGGGTTGATGTGTGGCTAGTAAGGAGGTGCAATCAGGTTCAAGGCGAAGGCTCTAAAAGGACTAGGGAATGATTAGAAAAGACATGGAAAGAAATAATAAAAAAAGATAATAACATGTGGTCGTTTTGAGGGTATAGCTCTTTATAGAGTAGAATGAGAGAACATGATTATGCAATCGACTTTAAGTAGTTAGGATAAGGCTTTGATGGTGATGATGTATAGCCTCTTGAAATTTTAATTGAAAAAACTGAGGAATTTGGAAAAACTATATGAGGGTAATCAATATCAAGATTTTTAGATGCTTGTATTGAAATTAAAAATTACAACAAACCCCTTTCTAGTTGTTTTCCATGGGATGGTGAAATTTTTAAAGGATGCGGTTAGCATGCGGCCAAGCCTACATATGTAGAAATGTGAGCCCCGTAATAAATTTATTTTTGAAATAAATTCGATACTAATTTTTAGAGAATATATAATCTTTAACATGGAAATCATGAATATGAAAATAAAATAAAATAAAATTTGAAAACTAGAAATAATAATTGTATTAAAAAAACATTTGGATCGGTAGTTTCAATTGTTTTTAAATGGATCACCTATTTGCATCCATCTTTAAGATGGCTCCTTTATACCTCTAGACCACATATTCTACAAATGCGATCCAACCCGTATGAAACAATTGTTCATTTTTAAATTACAGCACTGCCCACATGGCCTTGTAAGATGAGTTTGACTTAGTTATGATTTTAACCCTCTTTCTTGTGATTTTAACCCACTTTCTTGATACCAGTAAGGGAAATTATCGTTGTTATTTAAAACGTCTTGTAATTTTTATATTTATACCCACGTCCATTTTTGTCCTTTTTAAAATTTTCCAAATTACTGAGGAGCTCGAGTCGAGTCATATGCAATGGCCACAAGACTCCGACCTGGCCAAGTGCCCACTCTAGATCTGCCTATGCCTCCTTGGCATTTGGAATGTCGACCCGCATTTTAGGCTTATCAAGGTGCTCCAAAACCTAATGCTTAGGTGGGATAAGAACTAGGAGGGCCGACTTGCACTCTGGTTTCAGGTTGAATGCCGACCCAGTATTTTCAAAAAAAATGAAAAAAAAAGGAGAAAAAGATGCTCATTGTAAATATTGCAGAAGATATTTCAAATACCTCGATAAAAGGAATATCTATAGAAATGTCCATATCCGATATCCATAAGGAAAGGAAGTGTGCAATGCACGGTGAATTTTCTAACAATGCCTTGTCATCCCAGCCGTCCAATATCAACTGCTGACGGATGGGGTGGTTTTAAAGCGCAGTATAAAACTTCAGTGGAACACCTTGAATATTTTCCCCACACAAAAAGGAAATCTATCAAAACTAAGAGGTCCGAGTTGCAAAAGGGTAGGAATATATGACCACTTCATTCCATTTTATAACGTCGATGCCTTCCAATTGTAGAATTCATTTAGTCTCTCTCACTGTTGGAAAAACCGGGCGATCTAATCACTAACCGCCCGGAGATCAAAACTGACAGGTTTCGATTTTGGTGATCGATCAGTTTTTAAAAAAAAAAATTCAAAAAAATATATATAAATTCTCAAAATAAAGGAATTTGATTTGTAATCTATATTTTAATATTTTTTATATTATTGTAAATTTAAAAAATTGTTTTGGCCATTAATACTCACTTTTATATTTTCCCATCTTTCTTAGAAAATTTGGAAAATACCCTTAGGTACAAATCGAGTCATTAAAATCCATTTTTTTCATTAATTTTCAACTTCATTTGAATGTGTTTTTGTTTTAATAATTCTTTATATGTTTTTCACATTTTAGTATTTTTTTTTGTATCTTTTTTTTTTTTTCAACACTTTTTTGACTGCTCGGGACTTGCCCGGTTTGAACAATTGAATTGGCCGGTATACTAGTTGGGCTGGTTTACCTGTTCCAAGCCCATGTCCGGTTGACCGTTCCGGTTCGATTTTGCAAACACTGGTCTCTCTCTTTTAACAACATTTTTTTTGACTGGTCTCTCTCTTTTGGCCCGACATCCGCAACACAATGAAGATTCTTTTGGTCCAAGTGTGATTTGGAATTTTAGGAAGAGTAAGGGTGGACTGGTTTCAAATCCTTTCAATTTTTTTTGTGCACTAGGTATAAAAAAACATCCGAGAAAGTGGTTCTCTTGGCTAATAAATATGGCGATTATAGGGGTGTCTGCAGGAGTAACTACCGGAGTGGAGGGAGATGGTGATGATGACGATGGGAGGTTCAAAAAGAGTTTGGATCATCCACATTTCATCTTGGAGAAATTTGATATTCTCGATACTTTTAAAAGAGCCTCCATGATGGTGGTGGGGTCTTTCTCACCACCATCTAACAATATCTTTGGCCTTGGGAATTGGGCAAAAATGGCTTGGAGCTTGTCGTACGAACCTGTAGTGAGGAAAATCGATGACAACCATTGTGTCTTCATTTTAGCTTCACCTGAGGATGTGTGGAGTGATGCAGGTTCCAATGTGACTGGGTGAAGTAACCTCTTAACTATTAGAGTATGGAGCTCTTTGATTCATTCTTCTTTAGTTCGTAAAGATTTTTGTTAGATTAGATTGTATGGTATTCCGTTGTATACTTGGAACTTTGATGTTTTTCATAAACTTAGAAATACTTGTGGTGAGTTTGTTAGTATGGATCAAACGAGTCTTCATAGTGGTGATATGTCTTATGTTCGATTGAGGATTAAGAGGAATTCATTATCACCAAACATTAAAGTTATTTGATTGTCTGTTGATGGTGAGGATTTTTTTGTCAGAGTCCAATTTGAAGGTCTGAGAAATGATTCTCAACCAGTTATTCCTATGCGTACCGAGGTAAATGAGGAAGTTACTCATAGGGTGGTGGAATCAGAATAGCAGACAGTTAGCAGGAAAGAACAATATGAGGCAAAATGAAAGTTTATTGTGAGAGAAGGGAATGGGGTAGAGTTGCAGAGAACAATGGAGTCAAATCTTCAAAGAAATAGTAGTCGTACACGTGTTAGTTGGGCTAATGATAATTTGAATGGAAAGTCGGTTACAAAGGTCAAGAAGATTTGAGTCCTAAAGTTAAGCAAGGTATCATGGGTGACGGTTTTACAAAGTTGAATAGATTTGATCAAGGTGGTATTCAAAGTAGGGAGGTGGCGTCTACAAGTTTCAACGAACGAGATGGAAAGGTCTCTTATCATGATAAAGACAAAAACACGTATATTGAGGGTGGCTTTGGGAAAATATAATGTCAGCGTTTGGTTGGCAATGAGATTTGCATAGGAGATTTATATGTCTCTATCAATCATGCCTCTTTTGAAGGGAGAAACGGATACCCATTGGGTTATGGGGGTAGCTGGGGTTATGGCAATGCATTAATTAATGGGTATAAAGGGGACCTTAGCTTAGGCAAGGCGGAAGCTTCTAATAGTAAGGTTCGAATAGGAAGAGCTGCATCTGTGGCATTCTCTCCTTAGGAAATTGTGGCAGTGCTTCTCTTCCTTTCCAGATTCCATAAAGCCATTGCCTTGCCTCTTGCAGCTGTGTGGTGGAAAAGCATAGTGTGGTGGAAAAGCATAGAGCATCGCGATATGTCGTTCTGTAGGGCTGCCCATAGAAGAATGACTCGGGGGTTGAGGAAACCACTAGAAGAGCAAGGGCTCTCAATAATGGTGCTTGATGAGGGTATTGGGGATGATATTGAACGGTGATCCTGACCGATGAGTCCTTCACCTTCTCTTGGGTGGAGGATAGCAAGTCAAAGGGAGAAATTGAAAACCAAGTGAACTTGGCTCTCGAGTTCGGGAACTTTGAATTGGGGGAGATGGGGGTTCAAGAACAAGTTGGGGGGATGGAGTCGTAAGTTTGGGGGAGGTAGTTGGAAATGACAAGGGATGGAGGGGGTTACAGTGACATTGGGGAGGGAATGCATGAGGCAAGATGATCACATAAAGGAAGGGGAGA